AAAATGGTGTGAGGAGACAAGGATTATATAGATTTTTTATTTCAGAAAAAAAAGCTGTAGCTGAAACCCTGAGTTTTTAAAACGTTTACAATGTAAAATCATGTATATACTAACATACTTTATTAAATTACCACCAAATATTCCCCAGGTCAAGAGCGACAGTTTCTTTCGTTAGGTTTGGGGCGGGGGGGGGGGGGGGGCTGTAATGAAGTGCACGGAACAGTGAGGGCCCCAAGCCTTATGGGCAGGACTCGGATCCCGCTGCGAACCTCCGCCCTCTGCGGGGTTGACCATCTTACACTGGCTACATAGTAGTAAAAGGTATCAGGTGATGAGGAACTGGTGTCTTAACTCTGCTAGTTGATTGTGTCTTTAATGAAAAGAACTCAGCTACCAAATTGCCTTTTTTTTTTACACCATAAATCCTCATTAGAAACTTGAGATGTTATAGGAACTAATAAGATAGAAATTAAATATATGAATTAATGTGTCTTCAAGTATTTTAAATTATAATTAACTGTCTCCTTCCCTATCAAATTAACATGTAGAAGTTTCTGTGAAAGCTATTCACAGAAAGTGTGGAAACTTGTCAACTGGCACTCTCCTTGATTGCTATATTTTAAATTCTCTTTGAACCCAGTTAAAGTGTATTTTATGAGTAATCTTATTAGAATCTCTTAATGATAGTGTCCCAGTTGCGATGAGCTATTTGCTTGTTTTCACAGTTCTAAACTCGGGAAGCAGCAGAGTATATGTAACTAGACCATATATTCATTTTTATTGCCTCTTTTTTTAAGAAAACAGAAGCAAATTTGTGGACTGATAGGGAAGCAATATGTGAATCACAGTTAGCAGAGGCAGATCAAGCATCACATTACTGCTTAAGAGCTGCACTTTGGAGCCCGACTGTACCAATACTTGTCCTGTGTGTGCCAAAGGCAAATATGTTTGCACCTTTTTTTCTTTCTGATTCTCAGGTTGAGTAATACTGCTAATCCAAATGTTTAAGTAGATGTTCTTTAAAACTTTACAAAGTAGATTCACGGGATACTTTATTTTAAAAGTGAGGAGTTGATGATTACATATAATAAATTCATGAACTACCGTAGGTTTGTATCAAACAGAAGAAATTTTTTAAAATGAAAGTCTGTTGGTTGATGTGTACCCAGTGTGCTTCTTTGACTGTTATAGCCCTTGGCCTTGGTCTCTGCTAGACCTCAGGAGTTCTGTGATTTAGAAGGGGCAGTGGATGAATTAGTGTGGTCTCCATGGGATGTAAACATGAAATTCTAGTCTCTCTCTCATACTAAGGCCTTGCTTACATTTGCTTTTCATGAAGCCCAACTGAGGTGGCTCAGTGGTTGAGTGTTGATCTATGAACCAGGAGGTCATGGTTTGATTCCTGGGCAGGGCACATACCCAGGATTGTGTATCAATACAATGAATATTTTTAAGTGACTTAGACTCTGGGTTATAATGTGGATAAATTCTAAAGAAACAACTTTGACATTGTTTAAAATATTTACATTTTTAAGTTTCTTATGTTACAGCCCAGTGACTTTCCTCTACAGATTATAGTTCAGAAGAAACACTTAGGGATTCAATGGGGGACCCAGTGGGCTAGAAATGGGGAGTCCTTTGTTGGAGGAGTAGAGGCATTTTCCCCAGCAGTACAGGATGAGGGTTGCTTTCCATTTTCAGTCATCTCCCACTGCTGTTAGGATGTACATACAGCTCCATACAGCTGATACCCAGCTCATTCCCTTGTGAGAATTATGAAAATAAAGCTCCCAAAGCATGTGAAAAAGTTTGACACACACTTGGCACACAGCACACAGTGAAAGTTCGGCTCTATTATGGGTGGTCCAATTCTTGTTTAGGGAAGGAAAGTTGAAATTATATTCCTATTAATCAGGTGTGCGTTGTGCTGTAGCATGTTAAATAGTTATAACTCTAAACCTGTAATACTTGAACAAACATCACTAAGGGAAGTAAAATATGAAGCTAGCAAAAATCTGAGGCCAAAGTTATTTCTGCCCTAACAGCTTTAATCATGCTTGTTGATTTTGAATAATCTTTCTAAAAGTGGACCATTTGCTTCATTATTTTCATAGTATCACTTCAAAGAATGTATCTGTTAAGACGCTAACGTTGCTTGGTATAAATGTTGGGTGGAAGAGGAAAGGTTGTAGGCTGGATGAAAGTTTAACTGACTAGAATATTTATGCAAAAGGATCAGTCTGGGAAATGGTGTAATTGTTCCACTGACCCACCCGTGTGTGTGTGTGTGTGTGTGTTACAACATTATTCCGGACTGTAGATAAATGTTCCCTTTGACCCTACCCTGCTTATTGTTTAACAGTGATGAGTCTTGTCCTCATCTTGCTGGTGGAAAATACCAAGGTGAGCCCCCTCTTCTGCTCTGATAGTCACCAGGCAGGGCAGTTTTCACTGCTCAGCTGCTCTGCTTGGTCCTCTTAGGTTTGGTACTTCACATAAGCACGGCTAGAAGGTACATGTGTATTGGTATCACTAGTCCTGAGGAGTTTGGGTACATTCGTTTTCATATATATAGAATGTGCAGTACACCTTTTTTTTCTTTTCTTTTTAAGCAAAATTACTCATCATTTTAGGTTCAATCTTGAGCTGAGAGATCTACTGTGAGAATGAGATGGCATACTTACTGTGAGAATAACATAAATGATAGTTTATTTGAAAACTTTTATACACACTGGTGTTTATATATTAAGAGAAATATGTAAACACACATGCACATGTCTCTTCAGTAGAGTTAATGTGAATTTATCAATTTTAAATGGAATTGCAACCACAATCATTACTAAAAGAACTTTCACTCCTAGTGAGGGTTTACAGAAGCCACTAAAAGAATACGGTAGACAGAGGAAAATGCAATGGGTCATCATTTGGGGTGATTTTTATTTAAAAACTGATAGTGCTATTTTTGAAAAAATTGTTTTTATTCCTAGCTCTTTTTGTGATTGAAAGTCATCTATAGTAAGCAGTATGGTAATGAACTACTTTTTAATTGCTGGCAAACAGCTTTAAGTGCACTTTCTTTGATTACATTTCCATTTTTTTGTTAAACTTGAATTTTCTGAAGCCTTTTATGTACCACTAAGCAAATAACTTTTATTAAGCCTGATTTACATCTTTATTATATTTCTAATAGTTACAAAATGTACTTTCTATGGTAACTTCAAATATAGCTGGGAAACTGTTATGAGATAGTACCAGTTGCTTTTATTTTCTCCCTTTATCTTATTAAGCACTAACTGATTTTACTACTTTGTCTTGACATTGCTTATTCTTATCGACTGAATTTCTGTCCCCCATTCACTTTGTTTTGTTTGAAATTTAAAGTTATTTTCTTATTGTATTTATCATACCTGTTTTAATAATCTGCTTTCTTTAAATGCAATAAATCTCAAATGGATTGCATATTCTTTATAATCAGTGACTTTGGAGTTTTTCATTATTTGTCTTATTGAAAACTTTGGTTGTAAACTTTATTCACTTATTTCATTCACACCACAGACATTAAGCACTATGTACCAGCTAGTGAAAGAGAAAAATGAATAGAATTGGATCTCTAGTTTCACAGTGTAGGATTCAAGTAAGAAAACCCATTGTGACATGGCATTTTTGCAACAAAAATACTTAATAGCACAATTTCTTCAGGCATTACGATTACAGATACTTAAGATGAAGATGAAGCAAAAACATAAGACTTTGAAGTACCTTGTGAATGTTTGGCATAGTTTATGCATTATGTTTAATTTTTTAAACTCTTTAAAAACTGGTAACATACATAACTTACAATTTGGTTAAATAAAATATTGTACTCCTTGGTTATGTCAGAAAAGAGGCTTTTTCAAGATAAAGAGAAAAACCTATTTATTGGATTGCTGGACTCACTTTGGCATCAGTGTCGCAATATGTATTATCTTAGGTATTTATTCCACAGCCTGGAGTCTTTAGAGAGGTGGCTTTTGGAAAGATTTATCTTGTTTGTTATGAATGGACTTTTTTGTTGTTGAAGTAGTAACATTTATCTAAAGTTATGTGGAAAAGTAAGGGCTTTGTGTCTTTTTAATAAATGGTACAAAGGAGCAAAATATCACGTTAGAAGTTATATTAAAAAAGAACTGTGGAATGTACCATTGTTCAAGTTCAGTTATAGTTAACTTCTTTAGAGACAAATACATGCCGCAATTAGAGCTGCCTGTATGGAACAGCTAGTCCCTTTGTAGGGAAGTCCGGCTCCAGCATCCTATGAGATGTGGCGAATAGTGTCCTATGGAAGGCATGAGCATCTGAGTTTTGTGGCGCATTTAAAAAGTAGTTCACTTTTGCTTCAGATGCTTGACACCATTGAAATTACAACTCTGTTCTGTAGTGTTTTTGATCCCAGATTTATAGAGCAGGACTAGATCCTGTGTGGCTATCAGTCCTGCCCTCTGAAGACGGAAGTTTTACTCTTCACCCGAGACCCCTACTGCTACCCCTTCTCCCTTCTGAAAACAGTAAGTTTCCGTTTTGGATCATTATCTCCCTACCCTACTGAGGAAGTATGGTACAGAATTTCAGTAGCATCTGTGCCTCTTCCATATAAGCAGTTATTGTGATAATGCATGCAGAAGACACTTCTGCCCCTCGTCTACTAGCTGAGCTGACTCTTCACATTCTTCAGCAGGGGTGGATGTGGACCTACTCAGCTCAGCAGTTGGCAGGCACCCAGAAAGCAGGCTTTGCCCCTTGACATTTAATACAGGACAAAGGGTATATCTAGGTAGGTACCTACCTGCCAAACAGAGAGTTGTACAGCTCTGTGCCAGTCAATCACGGCCTTAAAATCGGTTACTTTGTCCAGGTGGGGGGTCATAAGGTGTGATAGATACTCCCTGACTCTTCGATCCTGGTTCTAAAACATGATTTTGAAACTGTTATGCATTATAAAGAATGAGGAGCAGCACTTAATATATATAGTAAACCAGTTTATTTACATAATACATATTTTGCCATGCAGCTTATGAATTGCACTCAGATGAATAACAAAGAAAAGCACTATCTTGCTATTTAAAAATGCCTTATACAGAAAGATAATTGTCTCTTAAATGAGTTAACTACAACCTTATAAACCACTAGACAATTTAAAACAGCCATGGATAATTTTAAAATGTAAAGTCCGTCAGTAGCGAGCTTTTACATAGGTAAAATTAAAAATTTTAATCCAGTAAAACAAAAATAACTTAAATATACATTATTACAAGGCTCAGATTTGAAGGCAATTTTTAAATAGTTATTCTTTAATGTTAACAATGCCTTAAAAATTTTGCCAGTAGTGATGTGCACACAGTAGGTGGTCAATAAATGCTGATATACAGAAGTGTTTATAGTTGACAGCAATCCACATTCATTCATTTCTGTGTTACAATAAATACATCATAGTAAAGATAAGAATGAGAAAGATCAGCTTTCTTACAATATTTAACACTTTCATGAAAAGATGAAATGTTCACATGGTATAATCTTTCTTAAAGTCAGACCTTTTATATTTGAAAAACAGTCTTAAACACATTATGCTCTTTGTGTTTATTAATTCAGATGACAAGTACTAAATAATTCATACACTATTACAAAAAATCAGGAATATTTTTAAAAATTAAAATAAAACTTAAGGTTTCAATATGTTTTTGAGAAGATTTTATAACAAAAATGGTCCCAGACCTAAAATAAGTAGACTTCTTCATTTTTAAATGTAAATAGTGTATTTTGTTTGGCCAAAATGACAAAATATCTATTTAAAAGAAATAATATCAACTGGCTGCTGGTGTGACTCACTGATTGAGTGGTGAACTATGATCTAGGAGGTTGAGGTTCAATGGTCGGGGTATATGCCTGGGATGCAGGCTTAGTCCCCAGTGGGGGGGTGGGGGTGCAGAAGGCAGCTGATTGATGATTCTCTCTCATCATTGATGTTTCTATTCCTCTCCCCATCTCGTTACCTCTCTCTGAAATAAATAGGAACTTTTTTTTAAAAAAAGCAATAATATCATGTAAGCTAATAAGGGATGTTATAGGGAAAATGTATCCTATTATCATTATACCAGAATCTTTTATTGTTTAGCACATGGGTCAAATTTGTGGCCTTATGAGCCCCGCCGGTGTGGCTCAGTGGTTGAGTGTCGACCTATGAACCAAGAGATTGCTGGTTCAATTCCAGGTCAGGGCACACTCCGGGTTGTGGACTGGATCCCCCAGTAGGGGGCATGCAGGAAGTGGCTGATGGATGTTTCTCATCGATGTTTCTATCTCTCTATCCCTCTCCCTTTCTCTAAAAAAATCAGTAAAATATATTTTTTAAAAAAATGTGTCCTTATGCAATAAAACTGCCATCTTCAGAGAGTAGTGTTCCACCAAAATACAGTGTGTCGTTAGCCTATGGGGGGAAAACTCTTTTTGCTGAGATACTAGTATGGGGAATTTATATTACAAAAACACTACACTGAAAAAATACAAAATTTTATAGATGCATAAACTGAGGCACATTAAAGTTAACATTCCTAGTATCAGATATACAAATCGCATTTTGGGAATAAGCTTCACCATTAATTAACACTTCTGATATTTAGTAATTCCAAGGTTCTGAAGATATACCAATATTTAAAGTAGCTTATGTCAACTCATTAAGAAACTTGGGTACTATTTTATATTCCAATTAACCACATGTTTTTATGAATGAATGCTTTAAGGGATTTAACTTCTGCATATGAAAAATACCAAAGAACAAGAGTGTTATGCTGTATGATAGGGCATTGAGATCTTTTTAAGTATATACAATAAAATGCCCATTTAATATTTCAGGCCCAAATATTAGTATGTATCAATACTTTGAGTTATCAATACAATGTTAACACATGCATAAACAGAGAAAGACCAGAGCACAGGTGAATAATCTGCCATCAAATGGGGCATCTGCATGACTTTGTTCTAAGGCTTAAGGTTCATTTCAGGGTCAAGACCGGGCCATCTAGATTCTATGGCCTTAAAAGTAGCACCCATATAGCTGGGAAACCTCCCCCCTACACCTCCCCCAATCATCAGGGAGTCTAGGATTGCAAATTCAGAGGTGAAAGCTTTTCTCCTGCAGGAATTTTGGAACTAAGGATCTGCACTCCACTGGCAAGAGTTCAATTATTATATGAACTTAATATTTGAAATTAAAAAGCTTCAATGGCTGATTAGTTGGTTATCAGATCACAGAATTTGTCACCTGATCATATAGTCAGTTTGTAATGTCATTTTTACCTGATGGGAAATGACAATGCAAGTTCTCAACAACTCTTTCAACTTAAAGGAGAAGAGGTTTAAAATTTTGTTCCAGCAAACTAAAAAATCCCATGTTCCTATGGAGAAGAGAACCCACGGCTAAAGGAAATACGTCGCATATGCCAGTTTCTCACAAACCATGTATTCAAAGGCTAGTGATGATTCACAATCACTGTCCTAGCTTGTGTTAAGCATAGGCTGTCACAACCCTCGCCTTGATTAGGCACTTGGTCATCTGTAAATATTGTCTATCAAAGTATTCACACAGGGTGACCCCGTTTTATAACGGAGGTGAGCCCTTCCTAAGGAATTAAGCTGGTGGTAAGTAAAATGAATACTGTTTTGACACTGGTTTCACATTCATTGCCAATTAATTTTCACTTCCTGTACAAGCAGCAAAGTAATAGTTTTAAGGGCTTGTAAAGCAGTGACTATTACAGCTCCTGATGTATTTTTCCATTTTTAGAAGCTATTACTCATGATATATTAAATAGGAAAAGGAAAAACTAAGGGGAATCTTAGAAATATTGGGGTATACAATTCCCTATTATATATTGCTTAACAGCTGAACACACCAGGTAGCTATACCTGAATTCATAAATGGGAGACATAGTCGGGACAAGGCTTGCTATGTCTGTACTGCATGACGTACACTGTTGACTGGTGCCACCAATATAACATCACTACTGCCAGGATATGCCAGATTTGGTGGCTCGATCCGAGGTAGTTTAGTTGTCCTGGAAAGGAAGGTAGAGAGAAAAGAATATTGGTTGTAATATTTTGACATTAAAATAAAAATATATTTTTATCTCTGGCCTTGGAAATATAGTTCTACAGCAAAAAGATTGTGGTAAGCCTCAGAGCTCCAAGAAACTGATTTGAGATTAATTGATATTTTTCAAGAAATATTTTTCAAGAAAGGATGAATTCATATTTGAGTCTAATTTTAAGGTTTTACTCATAAAGTGCACTGGTGAATTTTAGAAAAACTATTCCAAATGTGTTTGCAATAGTCTAACTTGGTAAATTTCAGGAACTTGACCTTTAATTTCCCTTGTGTCACCTTATATCTGATGAAGAAAAGACATTGCATGAGAGAAGCAAAGGAAACCGATGCTCCCGATCATGGAGTGAGCTGGCATGAAGCAGATGCACTGCTGGTTGGCTGTAAGTCTGCTAGGAGCACTTTTATTTCAAGCAGCTGTGTAAAGAGAAAGCTCATATCTGCATCTTGAGCTATCACACTAATGAAATAATCTGCAAAATGTAATTAGTGACTGGTTAATTAAGGTTGGTTAGTTCATATACAACTTAGGAGAACTATTTCTCTTTGTGGTCAAAGGTTAAATTTCAAGGCGATTAAGTAATTAACATGTGGGAAGCTTCTGGAAAAATAAGGAAATGAAATCCAGAGTTAAATAACTTTTTCTTGTAATGTAAACATCTCTAACCTTTTCTTTCTTTTTTCTTTACCAAGAAAAAGAACCAGTACACTATGTAGATTTTAAAATGTAAGTCAATAGAATTATTTCTGTAGGGGTTTTTTGCCCTTTTTTGTGTGTCATGGACCCCTTGACAGTCTTATGAAACCTATAAATTCATTTTTAAAAACCAAGAATACAGAGGATTAAAAAAGAAAATTGATTATATTGTTACACAAGTATCGCAGAGCTACTAAGTCCTGTCCATGGATACCTGAGGGATGCTTGGACTCATTAAATACATTGTGATGTTTATACATTAAAAATTTAACCTGAGCTGAAAGGAAGTTTTTAGGTTTAAGGTTTTTTTTTCTTTAAAAAAATATTTTTATTGATTTCAGAGAGGAAGGGAGAGGGAGAGAGAAATAGAGACATCAGTGATGAGAGAGAATCATTGATCGGCTGCCTCCTACACACCCCACATGTGCCCTGACTGGGAATCAAACTGTGGCCTCCTGAGTCATAGGTCAATGCTCAACCACTGAGCCACGCCAGTTGGGCAAGGTTTAAGTTTTTTTGATTTCACAGTATTCACCCACCATTTCGTCACCAACGCACATGGCCAGACAAGGTTCTTAAGCCACGCGTCTGTGAACATCTGAGACTATCACTTTTATCTGTAGACTTTTCACGGTCTGCACATCACTGCTCAAAGGTATCCATACTGCATCAATATTCAGCCACATGGGGCACATTTTATGTCAAGTTCATCTTGCTGGAATGTTAAGTTACTTAACATTTGACCTTTTAAAAGTGTCCTATACTAGACAACTGGGAACTACTGAATATTTTAAGGCCTAAAAATACTGGATAACGTTCATGGTTTAATTTTCTACATGTCTGTGATGAAGAGGAAACACTTTTTAAAAGATTAATAAATTTATACAAACATGTATTTTACTAGAACTGTTTTCTGAGGAAAATTCCAGCCCTGCTTGGAGGATGGGTGGTCTCCAATTCAGGGACATTCCTAATTATGGTCCTGAATCCTAATGTTTATTTACAACACTCAGGTTCTTCTTCGTGTTCCATTCTTATAAAACTCAGTGGTGAAAACCAAGTGTACAGAGGAAAGTTGCAGGTTCTACGTTCTATTCATTTTCTTCTTCCCTTGCACACATGAGCAGCGGCACCTTCAATTCACTGGGAAGGTGATTCTTAGCCCAGGAGAAAGGAAGGACAAGCCTGCAGTTTGAATTTATCTACTCCCCAGTCCTGGCCCCCCAACCTGAAACATCACTGCTTTCATATTATTATTGACTCAGCCAAAGCTTATCTGGGCTTGTAACCTGGGCTTGAATCCACACCTATTGGATTCAATCCATAATGTGAGGATGACAGGAAAAATTTGTGAAAACCCTTTGAAAGTTCAAGTTTTAGATAACACTTGAGAATAGGAGAGCCATTCCATAAGCAATAATATTGAAAAAGTAAATCTAAGTTTACTTATCAACAATATATTTAGAATAAAGTTATATAGTCACTATACAAGCAGTACCTACCTGGAAAGTACCGCTCTGGAACTTTGGAAATGTAGAACAGGAAAGCAAGAAGTGCGATCACGTACATCACAACCACACGGGGTGCAAAGTCCTGAAAAGCAAAACATACTGTTCACAGGTCTCCCACTGTGGCTGAAACCCCAATTTATTAGGAATCTAGTTTACAGACCGAATTTATAGGTGAGATTTAAGTCTGCTAAATCTCAATTGCTTTTGCAGTTTCCAGTAACAGAAACCTCACTGTTAATACTGCAGAAAGCAGTCCACAAGAGTGGAATATAGAGTGCCCTAAAGGTTAGGGTACTAAAGGAGCCAGAACTTTAACAAGGTTGAAGGTCCTACATCAACAATCCATCTACAGGCATATGGGTGGAGTGCATGTGGGATGGAATTACCACATGAATAGGCAAAAAGACAGAAGACCAGGGACTTGGGCTGAAAGACCCAAGAGGTTTAGCTGAGTAATGAAGTCTGTTCCACTATCCTGGGAACATGGCTCTGTTGAATACTATTATGAAGCAGTCCATCTCACAGCTCAAACAGCATTTCCTTGCCCTAAGACTATCAGCCAGCTATCAATAATATACCAGTAAACTGTTCCTAATCTGGTTATATACCCAATTTACCAAGAACCCAATAAAGGAGCCCTCCCTAAATTCTATATCCTCAGACTAATCAACCTAAAGATTTCTCAAACATTCTAGAACATGACTCCACCCTACCTCCCAGAATTAGTCCTTCTGGATCTTTTCATCTTTGGTTAAGTGTTTTTCTTTCCATCTCTTAAAAATTAGAGTGTACTGGAGATTTCTCTGGCAGTCTCCCTTTTCTTCTCCACTGGAATGGTCTGTGAGTATGTTAGATTCCCACCTGAGAACCACTGTCTTCCTAAGCCATATTTCTATTTTAAGATTTCTGAACACAGGAAATTCCCATTTTTTTTCTGAGTTCTGTAAAACCCATGATCTTAATGGGTCAGGTTCTCTTTCTTTGTTGTTAGAAGCTTAAAAGGATGTGTCACTCACCCCAAACTTTTGGTCACTTCTATGTCAATAATCAGTTATCAATTTCTGGTTAGAACTGAATTGAGAGTGGTAGTTCCCTAGTCTATTTTCTTTACTCATTTTAGGAAATCACAATTCTCAGAAAATAATGTTTTCACAGATATGAGGATCACTGAAGTTCCTCGTCACTACACTCTCATCTTTCTCCCAATTTCCTAGTCTGAGGAGGAAAGCATCACCTTTGTCCTCAAGTTGGCAAACTGGCCACACAGATCCTACCACTCAAATCCACTAGATCACATAACTACCTCCTTTCAGTTTTACACCCAAATGCTTTTCACCATGGTGTTGCCAACTTCATGCAAGTGTATGTAAGCCTACTATTAGTTCCCCCATTTCTAAAAAAATTCTGATTCTTTTGAATACAACCTATATTTCAATTCCCATATTCCAGACAAAGTTCCCATTGTAAAAATTATAGTGATTTCTGCTGCATTTGTGGGCATGCTTATTTATGTTAAAAATCCTCAGCTTTACTCTCTAGTGCATTTTTATATGGATCTCTAAGAATGTCTTATTTTGAATCCTCAAGAATACACAGGAGTTCTTACTGAGGTTCTTCCTAATGCACACCAACTGTGCTCCTATATAATACCTAACTCTAACAGCTTCTATTTCTCAATATACTTTCATTGGTTGGTGAAATATGCTTCCATGACTCCAGCTACCAATACAATAATGATTTTCAAATTTTTTTAAAAATATTTTTATTGATTTCAGAGAGGAAGGGAGAGGGAGAGAGAGATAGAAACATCAATGATGAGAGAGAATCATTGATCGGATGCTTCCTGCACACCCCCTACTGGGGACTGAGCCCGCAACCTGGGCATGTGCCCTGACCAGGAATGGAACCATGACCTCCTGGTTCATCGGTGAATGCTCAACCACTGAGCCACCCTGGTCAGGCATGATTTTCAAATCTTAATCACTAGTCTCAAACTCTAACCTAAATTCTATAATCTATCTCCACTTTTATATCCCACAGTTACCTCAAATTCAACAGGTCCAAGAAAAAATTCCTTCCCAACTCCTCCTCCTCTACCCGTACACACAATCACCCAACTGCTCCTACTTCTGTACTTGCATTATCATGAGCATTCTCCTCGCCTCAGCTGACAAAGCTAGAAATGTGAGTCATCCTCCTCAGGCAAGGACTTAGGTACTTACACACTCAGAAAAAATAGAGAGGGAATCCAGAATGTATTATTTCACAGAAAGCCATCTAAGAAAAAAATGGTGGTTAGATTTGACTTCTGTTCCTGCAAGATATGCTTATTTGTGTAGGCATTTAAATTATGGCATCAGTATGTCACTAGAAATATGTACTCAAATGACAAAGACTCAGCCACTTGCCTGATTATACTACTTTACCCAAACGGAATAAAACAGAAAGGACACAAAAAATGGGGAAAATATTTGTCTACACTCAACCTACCTGTACAATAGGAGCACCTATGCCTCCATTGAGCCAAACCCAGTGAAGAGTAGGAATTACGCCATATCCCGAAACGGAACAGAAGATGATGGAACGCAGCCTCTGCCACTGCTGTGTGAGGTAACTGGGATGGATCTGCGCAAAGAACACTGCCAGGATCATAGCAAGCACTGTGATCAGGTACACTTGCCGCCAATACTGGAATGAAAGGCAATCAGATTTTAATTGTTATTGCCAAGGGAAGGAAAAAAGTAATTATGGCTTCTACATTACACATTCTAAATTATTGGCTTGGTATTTGCATTTGCGAACATGATTAACTTCCTTCCTTAAAAAAATGCATGTTTCATTTTTAGGTTTAAACAACTAAACAACTTTTAGGTTTCTCAGAATGACAAACCAAATTTCAAGGTAAGCTGGTTAAGAGGCGACATTTATCATAAAAAGCATTTTCTGAGTATCTATTACAGGGGTGGGGAACCTTTCTTTTGTCAATCACCATTAGGATATTTATAACATCATTTGAGGGCCATACAAAATAATCAACTTAAAAATTAGCCTGCTATATTTGGTCAAACATTTAATTAACTCACCCCTAATGCCTTGGTAGGTCCAGACCAAATGATTTTGCAGGCCTTGTACTATACGGCCAGAGGGCCAAACGATCCCCACCCCTGACCTATTATATGGTAGGGACAATTTATGTCCTGTAGAAACAAAGATGACTATGACATGGACTCACCCAGTGGGTGAGCTCATAGACTATGGGAGGGGCAGATCTGTAAACAAATGATTACAATCTAATGATAAGTAATGTAACTGTGCTATCACCAGAATGCTGTCGAACCACAGAGGAGGGAGTGATTAATGTTACCTGGAGTGACCAAAACTGTTTCAGAGAGGAGGTGACATCTTAGCTGGGTCTTGTGGAATACATGCAATGTGTGGGAAGAGGAAACCCTCAAGGAACAAACAGGACATGCAGCCGCAAGCAGCAGGGACACTTTGAGAAGGGAGGCGGGAAGGCAGGTGGACTGTCAGGCTAAGTATCTGGAGCTTTACCATGTGGGCACTGGGGAGTAGCAGAGTTCTTGAAGAATGGGATGACGTGACTGTTTCTCAAACTGACTGATTAGAAAGAAAATAACAACCAATGTTGAAAGAATGAGGTGACAGGAAGAGAGCTAGAAGATATTAGAATAACTGATTCAACAAGTGAATGAGGGCTTGAATTCTTGTTGAACAAGGAAGATAGAGGTGAGCACCAGATTCAGGAGGCATTTTTGAAATGAAGTCTTATTGGCTGACTGGATGTGCGAGAGGGCAGCAGAGGATGGCTTGGCTGTTTCCAGTATGAAAGGCCACACGCAGCTTCTATCAATGGAGAAAATGAACAAAGATGATCCAAATGATGCGTGTGTGTGTGTGTGTGTGTGTGTGTGTGTGTGTGTGTGTATTGGGGGAAGAAAACTGGGAGGCATGAAACAATATTTATTTAAAAATATATTAGTTTTGAAGGGCTTATAGAATATTTAGGTCTCCAAATGAGCAGTTGAAAACCTGGTCTTGAAGCTCACAAGTTAGCATCTCATAGGACGGAGTTCATAACCTGAACTCCTAGGACTTCTGTGGGGCTATTCACTTCCTTAAATCACATGTCAAATTATTTGATTAGTTTGTGCCCAAATATACATTCTCCTGGATGAGGGTCCATAGTTTGCAAACTCATTCTCAAAGCAGCCTGTGTTCCCCAAAAGGTTAAGAGCCACTACAGCAAGGGCATATTTAGGAAGATTAGATACCAGAGGGAAGAAGATTTTCCCTCAAAATCAGCGGTTCTCAACTTGTGGGTCGCGACCCCTTTGGGGGCGAACGACCCTTTCACAGGGGTTGCCTAAGACCACTGGAAAACACATACATAATTACATATTGTTTTTGTGATTAATAACTATGCTTTAATTATGTTCAATTTGTAACAATGAAATTGGGGGTCACCACAACATGAGGAACTATATTAAAGGGTCTCGGCATTAGGAAGGTTAAGAACCACTGCTTTAAATGATCATGGACTGTGTTAGCTTTAGCAGTTCTTTCTCTTCAATCTATCTTGGACTTCTAGTTTTTTTCTGAAGAGATTTACAAAAAGTGTCTGACTAATCTCTTCGATTATCTGATATGTTTACAAAAAGATAAGCAGAAAACAGGTTTCAGAGAAACAGAGAATAAGATAAGCAAAATAATCCAAACACTACATGGCTGTCCTCACTAAGCTCCTAGTTAGCAGGTTCCCTCTCATTTGTCAAGGACATAAACAGTTTCATGCAAAACAAACAAGCTGTGAAGGCTGAGCAGACATAATAGGTTGACTACTAAAGTAAAATCAATTTATAACAAGTTAATTGCTTATATATCTATCTATATAAAACCCTAATATTAAATCAACCGAACAGCGGAACGACCTGTGGAACGACGGTCAGAGAGGGGCAGGGCCGGCGAGTGGGCAGCGTCAGGCCAGCCAAGGCAGGTGCCAGCGGGGGGCCCCCCAATTGCCCAGCCCACCGGTTGCCCACCGGTTGCCCACAGATGGCCCTGATCACCGGCCAGGCCTAGGGACCCTACCCTATATATTGGGAACAATCTCTTAGATGTAAAAATTAAAACCTGGCAAGGCTACTCTAACAATGAAAAACAGGATGATGCAGCGATGACATGCATGGACTCTGGCTTGCACATTTTGTGGTCAGTCCTGATTCTGACACTTAAAACTGTGTGACAAAGCCAATTACTTAACTTCTCTCTGCTCCAGTTTTTCCACCCATAAGATGGGGAAAATGGTACTACTGCCTCAGAAGGATCATGTTATGTACTACTTTTTATAATCAGGGCAAAAAAATGTAGCTACCCATACAGCAGCAAGATGCCTTTCACCTGTATGAAAAGTATGGTCACTGGTGCATGCAGTGTCCTGGATTGCGAGAGGGATGTCCGACTGCTGGTTTAGGCCCCGTAAACCGGCAGTCGGACATCCCCCAAGGGTCCCGGATTGCTAGAGGGTGCAGGCCAGGCTAAGGGACCCCACTAGGCCTCTAGTTTAATTACATGCTTATGTTCCAAACTAGGCATAAGAAGCAAACGGCTCATATGTAAATGGCTACAATTAATCTATACTCTTACATTCAAACCAAATTTATGATTTTTCTCTTTGCTAGTTTTACACTGCCACTATGTTGGCAGTTTTCTGTTATGGTGTAGTGACAAAGGTCTACACAAAACTCTTCCATTTCTTCTGTAAGTTAATTATGTGCTTATTCAGAATTTCAAAGGAACAACGGCAAGAAAACTCCAGACCTACAAGAAAGGTAGAATAAAAAATGTTTTAAATTACTTACATTATTACAATAAAATGCATAAAATACTCCAGAGACATAGCAGCCCAGTATTCCAATAGAAATTCCTGCATAATCTAGTGCCATCCATCTTCGACAGGTTTTTTCTGATCGATGGCAGGAAAAAAGATGATAGCCCACAGAGCAAAGCATACAGACCTATGAAAAAAAAGCAAAAACAAGTGAAAGTGAAACAAAGAGAAATAAACCAACATCTGCATGATGTTCAGGGAAGTGGCAGGTCTAGCGCGGGCTTTCCAGTGAAACACACCTGAGCTTGGAGGTTAGCTCTGTGTCAGGCGAGCTATGTTATTTCTCTAAGCCTCAGTTTCCTCATGGGTTAAATGGGGATAACCATATATAACAAAAGAATTTAAAAATGATAGCTAATTTACAACATAAACATTTAAAATAAATAGCACAGTAGTAGGAAAGTTACAAATGTTTTAAAAATATCCACTGAGGCTTATTTTGATCCATGAAGGACTTTCCTTTACAAAAATCATTTACTATATAAGTAATATATGTCATTAAAAAAAGTCAAAGATCATAGAATTGTATGCGGTAAAAAAAATAAATCCCTCCTGTTCAAATCTATTCCCAAAAGGTAACCACTGGTAACATTTATGTCCTTTCAGATATTTTCAATGAATATATCAAATACCTATAATATAGAAGTCTGCACACCTATAATATAGAAGCAGCATATTGAGAAAAAGAACCATTAAGGAGTATCATGTGGCGGCCTTCATGACATGGTTATGGTAAGCTCTATACATTAAGGAGTTTTAACTTCAGTATTATGGGCTAGGTGTGATACTGGAGATCTTAAGTGCAACCTTATGGAAAGGCTGAGACAAGAGGCTACAGGAGTAGCCCTGGGGCGCAATGACAAGAGCCTAACTAGGCCAGTGACAGTGGGGGTGGACAAAACAGGACAGATAAACAATATGAAGCAGGTCAGATGGATAAACATTTGTAAGCAACTACTCAGGTTGCTTATAATGGTCATCTTGCTATTCTATAGTATGGTCATTAAACCTAATCCGTCCCCATGGCCTCAATACCTCAATATCAATGTTCAAAACAATGTTCCTAGCCACAACCTCTCCACCCAGTCTAAAACCCTCACTGGTCTATGGCTATGGTTACTAAACTACAAGTCAGTTTATTGACCCAATGAAACATAATTCTAAGAAGCTTGATGGTTTTGTCAGATCCTTGAGATTAAACACAGATATCCAGAAAATATCAAGATGTATATTCTCATTGAAATGGAAAGATCTTAACTGACACAAAACCATGCAGAGATGATCATAGCTTGGAAGTAGGTAGACGGGTAGGTAGGCAGGTGGCAGGTGTGAGGCAGCTGTGCATACACAAATGTCAGGAGGAATTTTAACCCAAATTTCACATGTGGTTACCTCTGGGAAGTGGAATTTCAAGACATTTTTACTTTCTTTCATATACTTTATTGTTTGCTTGAATTTCTCCATGAGTATATCTTATAGTGATAATAAAAACAACAATAAAGCTAATTTCTTTGTGAACAAGAAGATAAGAGAGGAAAGAGGAAAAACTACAGTATCAAAGGGAAAATACAATATACAGTGTTAATGGGAAGCACCGAGTTTTGAAAAAGTTAACCTATACTTAATATGTCCTGTTTTAAAAGGGATGTGTTACTGTTACAGTTCCTTAGAAAACTGACAGAAAAGTTATCTGGAAAAAAGAGAACGTTTCAGTTTTCTTCTGTGGAACATCTCATCTCACCAAGGCAAACAGATAATTAGATTGTGACATCCTGTGTCTAAGCTCCTTGGCACAATAACCAAGAACCTCAGGATCTGGCTCCTGCCTCTCTCTCCAGCCCCATCTTTCTCCATCCTCCTAAGATCCAACCACGAAGACCAGTGCCTGCAAGTCCAGAAAGTGTTAAGCTGTCGCTTGCTTCTGGGCCTTTACAAAAATTATTTTTTCCTACTTAAATGCCCTGCCTCCCTCTCCCTTCCGTCCTCCTACCTGAGTGACCCGACCTCCATGACAGGTTGGTTTTGTTTAGCACTGTATTTCCGATGCCTAGCTTAGTACCTGGATTTAGGAAGGAGGCATGTAAAAATAGTTGTTGAACTGACTGTAAATGAACAGAATGCAGGGAAAGACGTTTTCAGATTCTGCTCTTCTCTAAGACAGAAAGACCTCTGGGGTGGCTCAGAGCCCCTGAAGTCACATTGTTACTCAGAAGGTACTCTATTCATCTGGTTGAGAGGAAAGCACTGAGTATATAAAATGGGTAAAAGTGAAAAGAGAAAAAAAATGTGTTTTAAAAATTAAATGTAAATCAACATTAATACACAGATTTATGGCTTAGCCATGCTGCCTGCTGATGCTAAGAATTTGGGAAAATTGGGTGAACACATTATCAATGTAATTTCATAAATATAAAAATAACAAATGATATTTTTAAGTAGGGAAGATGTACTCATTTGTCTTCAGCAAGTTTTATAGTGGGTAACAAAAAGTCACTGCACTGCCAGCTGGGAGAACAGGGTTTTACTGTAATGCTGAGTAATCCTCGGCAGATCACTGTAATATTTTGGGTGTTTTTTTTTTTATCGGCAGTTTTTTTTTTAAACTATTTCATCTTTATAGTTGTGCAATGCATTGTTTTCTTAGGCCAATATGAGAACCAGTATGTTTTCCCTGGACCAGCATCAGCTATATCTGGGTGGTGAGGAGATAAAGGGCAGGCCTAAGGGTAGAGACAAACATGGTATTCTCAAAGTAGATAATATCCATATGACCAACAGGAGAGTAAAAACCAGTTTTACTTATTTATGATGATTAAGAGCACCTCAGTCTATGTTAAGATATATCTAAAAATTTATAAAAAATTGGTTCATTTTAAAACAGTGATGGATTCTAAGAGATATTCAGGCTTCAATCAGGACAAAAATTAAACCTGAGAAAGTGTATGTTTTTAAAAATGCTTAAAAGGAAAAGTAATTTTCTAATAATAACACAAAAACACAGAGTATTCTTACCCTCAAAGAACTCTAAAATTTTATCCCAGAAACTAGGATTCTAAAAAAATGGTGGGGGTGGGGGAGAAGGGAAATTTTCTGATGGGTTTCTTAGTCATGTAAGTCTAAAGTTTTAACTGGAGTCAAATGATGAAGGCCAGAGATTAGATGATACATAACAAAGCAGATGGCTTACAGATTCACCTTTCAAACCACGTAGCAACCGGTTAACTGCAGGGAATGCTGGCCTATGTTTGGAGAAAGTGGCATAACACCTTTTTCTTTTCATTTTTATGATCTTCTGTACTGTCTGCATTTTTTTTAATTAAAAAATTATCAACAGGAATTTTGCCCACATTTGTTTTCTTCTTTAGAATGATCTGTTTCCAAAACTATTAAATATAACTGCTAAAGGCACTCTTATAGAGCTCTGAAGAAAAATGAAAGTGCTAAAGAACTAACAAAAGAAGTAGAGAGGAGAGAAACTGAAGTATCTGAAACCAGGCAAGCATAAAAGGACCAAAGGAAATGAACATTAAAGCAACAGAAAAGGTCAATACCAGCTAAACAAGACATTAAAATTAAGATGGTATAGAATCAAGTACAAAAATCACAGATGTATAAATTGGAAAAAGATGAGAAATAAGGTGAGAAATTTTCTCAAACAAGTGTTAAGCAGCCACTAGTATTCTACTTCAGTCAGAAATAGAACAATCAGAGTTTCCTATCCTTGTATTAATCTTAAAGCAGAGATGTCTATAAAGGGAAAGAGGAAAGGAAACAAAGAAATGTTCCCAATCCTTAAAAGTTATTAGATTTCAAATTTACTCTAATAATAACATCCAAATACACTTTCATAAAACATACTTTTGGTGCTTATACTATGAAAGTGAGTAAGCTAGCCAATATGCAATTTTGGGGGCTTTTAAAGCAAGTGGTGGATGTGAAGTAAGATCACCTGCCCAGACTTGTCGGACTAAAGTTCTCTTTCCCATTAACAGTGTTTATGAAATGACTTACCTGGAAGCAGAAAAGACAAATAGAACAAATTACAAAATCTTCTCTGGATGCACTTGCTGAAGGTAACACAGATGTCATGTCATATATTCCCAGTGTGAAGAAGAGAAAGAAACCCAGCAAATGACTCCAAATGTTTACTGTCTCATTAGATAAAATAAACAAACTGGAAGACAAAACAAAACAAAGCCCATGAAGTTCAGAATCATAGTGGCTCGCTCACTGTCAGCATTTTAAAGGTTAGGGACATCTTTTTCTGGGTTATCCAACACTTGCTACTTTAAGCCCGTAACCCCATCTTTGCCTTTCTAAATTTGATATATATCATTTGGTTTAATTAACCTCTTAAGTTTTTCCACAACCAATCCTCCGATCTGAGAGGTTTTTTGATGCTCACCTGTATTATTATATTGACCATTTTCTTCCTTGTATTAGAGTTATTTATGAATAAATGCCATTTCATCCTCCAGCCTATTAACTCCCTGACGGCTGGCACCATTCATCTTTATGACACCACTGTTCCAAGCACAGTGCCTTGCTTGAATTAGATGCTAAATGTCTACAGAAATAAATGTGCAGATTAAAACTGGATATTAGCTAACATACTTTGATGTTGAATAATAGGTGTCTGAAAACCTAAGAATTAGGTTAGACCAGTGGTCGGCAAACGGCGGCTCGAGAGCCTCATGCGGCTCTTTGGCCCCTTGAGTGTGGCCACGAAGTTTCAATCGCACTGTACCCGCACGTGGTATTTTGTGGAAGAGCCACACTCAAGGGGCCTCAGTTTGCCAACCACTGGGTTAGACACAACTTAAAATACCTTTTTAGTATTTGTTAAATGCAAAATTAAATGGGTTTGAGAGAAGCAGAATAAAAAAAAATGGATCTACTGGAAAGACCTTTAAGACAGGCATGCTGGAACAACTTTTCAAAACCATTGTTTTGCAACCATCGTTTCCAGGTGGCATGTTCTTATTAGGAACCACAGGAGGTTACTATTGCTGACTAACTGGTTTGCAGCACAGGTTGGTGTACCACACCGAGCACACGTCAAGGCCTACTGTCCCTTCACCCCCTCTGCAACAAACAAATTAGCTCTGTGATCATGAGAAAGTCACTTCACCTCTCTGGCTTCAATATCTTCATCTACAAAAAGGGGAGCTGGATTAGATGTGGCTGCAAGTCCCTTCCAGCTCCTTCCTTAATCTTGTGAGCTGTTTCTCCTGCTGTGGATAGAACTCACCTGATTATTTATTGAAAGGTGACATCATGACAAAAAAATTAAAATACTCTTGCATTTCTCTTGCAAAATAATCTTTCTAAACTAAGCCTTTGGCTTTTACTGATTCAGAATCCTTATTAGTAAACATTAACATATAACTAGCCTATGGAATTTGCAGCAATCACCATGGTTCTCGGTTTCCCATCTTTGCACAACAAAAATAGCAGGGCTTCACACTATCAAACGATCATCAAGAATAAAGTGAATTGCCGAAACCGGTTTGGCTCAGTGGATAGAGCGTCGGCCTGCGGACTGAAGGGTCCCAGGTTCGATTCCGGTCAAGGGCACGTACCTGGGTTGCGGGCACATCCCCAGTAGGAGATGTGCAGGAGGCAGCTGATCGATGTTTCTCTCTCATCGATGTTTCTAACTCTCTATCTCTCTCCCTTCCTCTCTGTAAAAAATCAATAAGATATATTAAAAAAAAAAAAAAAGAATAAAGTGAATCATGTATCATGAATTTCAGGTTTTATCCTGTACAAGCATCAAGTATAAAGACTACTTACATTGTTGTGTGTAGAGGGGATAGGATGCAGGAATGTGAGGGAACACATCTAACTACAGGTCTGTTTTGACAATCTATACTACGTTCTGCCTGTTGCTTCAGAACTTTTCATTTTGTGAGGCTCAGTATAACCGGACTAACTGAACTGACAGATACAATCTTGGAGGTTCCTTCCAACTAACAGAGTACTGGCAGAACAGTTGTGGCACAATACCTCTTCTTATATCTAAAATCTATCCTGGTCATGCTTGACAGCAACAAGAAGAGAGGGTAAAGGCTGAAACCAGTAAAGACCAAGCTGGTGGGAAAAGCACTTAGGAGAATATCCCCAATAGACAACATACTCTTAATTTATGAGAAGTTAGGCCCAGACTGTTCAGTTTCAAAATCAATCATCAGCCCAGCCGGCATGGCTCAATGGTAGAGCGTTGACCTATGAACCAGGAGGACACAGTTCGACTCAGGGCACAGGCCCGGTTTGTGGGTCCCAGCCCCAGTAGGGGGTGTACAAGAGGCAGCCGATCAATGATTCTCACCATCAGTGTTTCTGTCTCTCCCTCTCCCTTCCCCTCTGAAATCAATAAAAATATATTTTAAAAAAATCATCTCCATCATCAACATCTGCTTAGCTTTGAAATCGATGATCATGATGATCCCATTTGTTGTGTGCTTAGGCCCGGTATAGGGTTTCGCGTGTATAATCTCATTTAATCCTTATTGCTTTCTGAAGCAGCTACTAAGATCACCCTCACTTCTACAAATGGGGAAAATAAGACGCAGAGAGGTTAACTTTTCCTCAAGGTCCACAGTTGTTAAGTGGTAGATCTGGATACCCGAGTTTTTTGGTGTTTTTTTTTGACTCAACAGCCCAAGATCCAAAGCACTAGATTTCATTTCTCAATCCATAGGATTTGGACTCTAATATTAGAATGCAGAGGATCACTGCTAGGTAGGTATGAAATATTTAAGGCAATTCACTACCTGCAGGGCTTAGCCCTGATTTCCTGTGTAATACCTTATACACAGGAGGAGGCACTGGGGAGAAAAAGATTACGTAGGATTCAAATTGTGAAGTCCTGTGGGCCATCCATTAAAGTAAAAAAGGGACAGGCAGTGACTGTTACCTTGTGACTGCGAGTCACAGAAATACTGTCAAGGCAGGCAAAGGCACTGGGGAAGGACCGTGCTGGAAAGATCAAGAATGAAACATGTGGGTGCTGCTTGAGCAATTCAGCAGCCCACCTCCCAGCACTGGGGTTTGTCTCTGCAGTGACCTGGAGCTGGCCAACATCTGCATTTTAATGCTCTTAGAGTGGGGTCCCCATTTAAGCACACGCAGTGCATTTTCACAGAAAGCTCTTTGAACACTTAGAACACTCATTGTTCAGTTTTGTTTTTTTAAGCCCAGGCTTTCCGGGGCGTTAAAGGTTTGGATGATGAAATTCAGAGTGGCTCCTGTAGTTCTCTAGTGGAGGGCGGTGCCCGTTATCGGCAATCTTTGCTATAAAGTGCCTTCACAATGGTTATTAAGTAATAGTGCAATTATCTTTTTAATGTGTGTCACCCAGGCTGGACTTTAGCAGCTCATGAGAACAAGGGCCTTGTCTGCTGTTCTCTGCACCGCCTGGTGAAGTGCCTGTCCCCCAGCAGGGGCTCCCCAGTACCCGCTGGAGGAATGAAGCAGGGGTTCCTCACCATGTGGACTTGTTTCCTATTATACAGGCATTTATCTGACCCCAAACATCTGACTTTCCATAGGGCTTAGATATACACAGGGGCGAGTAGGGCTCAACCATGGTCAGCGGGGTGAGTCCAACATGTAACCCAGCGAGCACCAAAGGGAATCGAAGATGTAAAAGCCCTTTGTAAACAGCAAAGCGCCAGAGTCAGTAATCAGGGTCATTGTTACTATCGTTATTATTTGGTGGATCCAATAGCCCCGCGGCGCAGGAGGGAAGGTCACCGGCAGGAGCGGCGGCAGAAAGATGAAAAGGAAGCGCACGGAAAAGGGCAGGGACAGCAGCGGGAAGACCAGACAAACACCGGGCAGAGGGGAGGAGGAGCTGCCGGCGCGTGGGAGGCGGCCAGACGGTACCTTTTGATACACAGCCTGGAGGGCAGGTAGGCCCGGTAGCCGTCGGTGATGTACGGGTTGTCCTTGAGGGACACGGGGATCTGCTCGTAGGTGTAGAGGCGGATGCCGCGGGGCACCAGGACCGGCCAGTACTGGTAGCTGCCCAGCTCGATGTAATGCGCGCTCTTCAGCAGCTTCTGATGCATCCTCCCCGGTCGCCACCGCTCCCCGCGGGGAGCTCGCCCGGCCCCGCCTCCGCCTCCCCGGGGAGGGGGCTTCGCCGCCGCAGCCCCCGCCCCGGACCCCGCGGACGCTGCGCGAGGTCCGACGCCGCCGCCGCTGCCCAGGCCCGGCTGCGAGCACACTGGCCACCGCCGGCAGCGCCCGGGCGGTCCGGCCGATGCCCCGCCCCTGACGTCATCACGCGGCGGAGGCCCCGCCCCTCGCTGGGGCGGCCCGGCGCGCGCGGTGGTGTGCGGGGCGGGCTGCTTGAACTGCGCAGGAGGCGGCCAGTGTCTCCCCTTTTCGGTAAGAAGAGCACAGAACTGCACAGGGGAATACAAGTGGGTTTTTTTGTTGTTGTTTTTAATTAGAAGCAATAGTTGTTAAATTTTGAAAAATCAAGGAGAAAACAGTTGAAGAAAAATAAGAACTAGAGTTAAGTGTTCACCGGTTTCTCTATGCTTCCAACGAATCTCACACGCTTAATGGCAGAAGGGAACTTGCAGGTTTCTAAGCTAAGGTTAGTCCTTTCAAGTAGTTGCAAATAGAGGAAACCTGATGCTCATGGAACATTTTCCAAAATCTGATCATCCACCGAGCCATAAAGAAAACCCCAACACACTCAAAACACTAAAACCATTCAGAGTATGTCCTTTAAGCTAACAGAATGAAACTAGAAATAATCAAGACAACTAAAATTCCACAAATGTCTGAAATTGAAACAAAAAAACTTCTAGATATTTAATGGGTGATGAAGAAACCACAATGGAAATGAGAAAATGATATAGAACATACAAAACGGGGTGCAGCTAATACAGTGCTTAGAGGAAAAGTTATAGCTTTATTTCTGCCTATGAATTGTGATTCAAATGCTTATTCATAATGGCAACAGCACAAACATCAGTTTTGCATCCATACATGTAGTACCCTTAGGCTATTGTTTGGCATACAATAATCACTCATGATACCTATTATACATTTGTTGTTATTAATAATTATGTATAACAGGATATTGTCGTTATGTTAGTAACTAGAGGCCAGTGCATGAAAATTCATGCACTCTGGGGGGTCCCTTAGCCCATCTTGCACCCTCTCACAGTCCAGGACCCCACAGGGGATGTCTGACTGAGGCTTATGTCTGCTCCCCAGGGGATCGGGCCTAAGCTGGCAGTCAGACATCACTCTGGCAGCCTGGGACCCCTTGGGGGATGTCTAACGGCTTAGCACTGCCATGGAAGCAGGTGAGGCTCCCGCCACTGCTGCTGGGCTGGCCAGCCATGAGCCGGATTTTGGCTGAGCGGCACTCCCCCTGTGGAAGTGCACTGACCACCAGTGGGAAGCTCCTGCATTGAGTGTCTGCTCCCTGGTGGTCAGTGTGCATCATAGCAATTGGTCATTCCTGATCATTCCCCCATTTGGGTCAATTTGCATATTACCCTTTTATTATATAGAATATTAGTTAAAGTTTGAGAGGTGGTATGGTTTAATAATTAAGTTCTGAACTTTGAAGCCATACTACTTGGGTTTGAATTCTTGTTCAACCATTTACTAGCTATGTGTCCTTGTGCAAGTACTTAATCTCATCATGTATCAGTTTTCTTATTGGTTAAATAGGGATAATATTGATACTTTGTGTTGTGAGGATTAACTGAGTGAATGTATGTAATACTCTAAAGCAAGCATGTCAGACTCAAAGGCTAACATGGGCCAAATAAACAAGGTTTAAGTTTATGTGGGCTGCAAACAAACAAAAGCTTCAATTTTCATAGAAATGTAGGTTTATTTCAATAGAGACATGCTGAATACAAAGGGATGAAATAAATAAATAATAATTAGCATAAAATAATAGAACATTTTAATAAAAATTAAGATTTTTCTTGAACATTAACTTACCAGACACTGAATAATTGCACAAATTAATAAGCGTAATGCAAATAAACCTAGTTTTTTTATTCTCCGAAAGCAAAATATTTCCTGTTGTGCACACCAAACAAGTCAGTACAAGACTAATGACTTGGCAATCGGCTGCTAAAATATTTGCTGCTAGTATTAGTGGAAAGAAATGGTGCGCCTGCACGTAAGGCATGTAAGGGAAATGAATGCAACATGATTATAGTAATCAGTCATTAGTGAACGTTATAGTTTGTTATTAATAATTATGTATAACAGGATATTGTAAAAATTAAGTTACAAAATTTTTATTAAAATGTTTCTTACGTACCTTTATATTGGCTGGGTTGCAAAAATATTCATTATGGTCCGCGAGTTTGACATGCTTGCTCTAAGGGAAGTGCCAGGCATATTGTTAACACCCAACAAATGTTAGCTATTATTAGAGTTCAAGGGATGATATATTAATAGATAAAAATGAAAAGGTAAGTTGACTCAATGGACTTAAATGTCATGTAAAGGAATTAAAACTGTTTGTTTAACCCATGGAACTAAAACTAATATTTGAGAGCTTATTATGTACCCAGTACATTACCTCTGCTGAAGGTCACTATGTACAGGAATTCTAATTTTCTAGTGGAGGAAATTTATGCCTGAGAGTGTCTGCCACTTCCATAGATCCCTTCTAAGAGGTTTCTTCTACATGTATTCTTGCTGGGACCACATGACATTCTTTTTTTAAAAACATTTTTATTTATTTAGGAGAGGAAGGGAGAGGGGGAGAGAGATAGAAACATCAATGATGAGAGAGACTCATTGATTGACTGCCTCCTGCATGCCCCTACTGGAGTTCAAGCCCGCAACCCAGGCATTGCGCCCTGACTGGGAATCGAACCCAGGACCTCTTGGTCCCTGGGACGATGCTCAATCCACTGAACCACCACAGCCAGGCCATGTGACATTCTTTGGTGACCAAAGATGGATTAATGGCTCATGAGATAGCCTGTCACAAATGTCCATACAAGAGCAATGGTAATCATTTTCTTTCTTGGGAATTTGACCTGGAGATATGGGAAGAGAGCCTGTAGTCTGGTATTTGGAACAGAAATAGAAAGATGCCCAGAGATGATCAGAGACAGAGAAAGTAGCTGTGTTATGATAATGGTAGGGCACTACAGTGAAGAACTAAGAATGGCAGCTGCTTTGAGTGTTAAGAATGTACCCTGAAACCTGTTGCAAAATGACTTCTGAGTGACTTCAATAATTTATAACCCATTTCACTTCTCTCTAGTTCATTTCTGTTTAATTTTTAAATTAAGCACTCTTTATTTATTTAAAAATATATTTTTATTGATTTCAGAGAGGAAGGCAAAGAGAGAAAGACAGAGAGAGAGAGAGAAAGAGAGAGAGAGAGAGAGAGAGAGAGAGAGAGAGAGAGAGAGAGAGACATCAATGATGAGAGAGAATCATTGATCGGCTGCCTCCTGCATGCCCCCTACTAGGGATCAAGCCCGCAACCTGGGCATGTGCCCTTGACTGGAATCGAACTCAGGACCCTTCAGTCCCCAGGCTGATGCTCTATCCACTGAGCCAAACCAGCTAGGGCAAATTAAGCACTCTTTAATACCAAGCACGTAAAAATCCCCATTTATGAAATAAATGGGTAAATATGAAAAGATAGTTACAGCAACAACCCACATCTAAATCCTAGAAAGAGAAAGGTCTGTGAGTAAAAAAACTGAAGGAGCTCTTTCACTCAGTTCTGTAAGATAATGGAGGCAGGTGCAACAAAGCTTTGGGGCACCTCTAACAGATAGTAAGGGAGGGGGCACAGTTCCTCGCCGGTAACCATGGAATTTTGGCACTTTGAGGGCTCTGGTGTTTAGTCATGTTTGACAGAAGACTTGAGTGGCATGCCTGGTGGAGTCTCCAGCACCTGGTGATGAGTGGGAGATCAGCAGCTGCATTTGGCAGGAGACCTCAGTGCCCTGTAAGTGACAGGATGGGGAGCTGAATCACCCAGTAAGAGTGGGAAAATGGCAGCGCCCCGTCATAAGCACCTGTGAGACACATCTTGGGTTTTAGAGACACTTGTGGTGGGGGTGGGGTGGGGAGGGAGTTCTCCAAGGAGCTGCTGGGTTCTAACTACTGCGTTCTCACGTGGGTCCAAGATCCAGAAACAGAATTTTCATTGTTGCTATATCCTACAGGCATATGCAGTTTGGGAAAACTTGGATTGTGCCTTTGTTTTGTAGGATAATTTTCAGTAAGCTGGGATGGAGAGACATGGGGGCTGCATGGAGCATTTCGGTGAGTGAGATTTTTCCCCCTTTTTTTTTCCTATTCCTCCCCCCCTGTTTCCATCCCCCTCCCTCCCTTTGCCCCTGCCTTCCTCCCTTTCTCCCTTCTTCTTTCTTGTATATCCTTTTTGCGTTTTTTTTTTACAACTCCAAAAGTGTTGGTGTGAGACTCACAGGTATTGGAATGGACACACCATGGAAGTTTATACTTACTGAGTTCTGACTACATGCCACATACTTTCCTAGGCACTAAGAAAACAAAGGTGAATAAGACATCTTTTAGATAGTCATCTTTGCCAGTCTCAGCAGCGCTGACATTTTGACCACTCCCCCTTTTCTGAACTTTTTAAATTATAAAAGTCACCCTGTTGCACATCCAAGTGTTCATCTTTTGACATGGTAGTTTTAGTTTGCCCATTAAAAAAAAAAACTCCGTGTATTTTTTTTTTATGTATAGATTCTCCTCTGCTTACAATTTATCTTTGAAAGAACTCATGGAGTTTCATAGTCTGGATTCTGCTGTTTGCAGAATTATGATACAGTTTAATATGTCACTCTGCCCTCTATTTTTTGAAGATTGGCAGCAGGATCCAGAGGCTTGATCAGACCCCTGTTTGATCCCTTTGGCAAGACTATATGTGGTAAGGTATCCTTTCATCTGGCGGGATGTGACGTCTGGTTTTGTTCTTTTTAGATGTTATGTGCTATTGATGTTCAATGCCTACATCCATTAATTCATGGTGGTTGCAAAATAGTGATAATAAAATTCTATTATTTTGTTACCATATTTTAGCTGAAATAATTTTCATAAGGAGATACTCCTTATCTAATATTTGGTTACTCAGTGGTATAGTTCATATAGGAAAAGAAAGGTAAATGCTTGATTCTTTCATTTTATTTATGTAGGTTTCAAGGTAGCAAGTAGGTTTTTATTATGTAGGTTTCAAGGTAGTTGGTCCCTGTTATC